GATCTTACGATGCAAGTGAGACACATGTTAAGGATTCATGTTGAATAATTTAATCCTGAGCCTGTCTAAAAGATAGGTCGAGACAGTGTGAACTTTTCTTATGGGTAATTATCAAGCGAAAAGTTCCAATTTTTATAAATGCATAAGTATGTCTTTTAGCTTCATTTTAATTTATTTATTTATTTATTTTTTTTTTTTTGTAGTCAAAATATTGCAACCTGACGAAGTTATTGTAGAGATCAGGCACGTCTGAATTGAAAAATTCCTATTGATTTAAGAATGGAAATGTGTGCGGATTTTTAAAAGCGCTCATCCATTTAAAAATTTTCACTTCTGTCGTAAATCATTTTGTACCTTGAACTTTAAAAAGAGATCAGTAATGTCGTTCTTCAAAGACGAAGACTTATTTATAAATTAACGTTCGATAAATCGCGAATATACAAACCGCTTGTAACATAAATTTTTGCATCGGCCATAAACAATCCCGCGTTAACAATTTTTACCATGAAGAACAATTTGCACAGGTTCCAATGAAGGAACACCTCGTAAATTAATGCTCGGAAAGCGCGGCATGTGAATTACTCATTCAAACGGGCTAATATACGAAGTACGCCGATAATCCATGAGAGCATGGATTCGCATTGGTGACTCTGAGCGTTCTATCATAAACGAAAATATAATCTTACTCCAGAAAAAAAAAAAAAAAAAAAAAATAGACCTCGCTTTGAGAATTTTTCTTGTAAGTTGTAGCGTGACGAAAAGAAAATCGTACAGCAAGTTTTCAAAGGTCTTCGAAACTATGGTGGATCCAGTCGCGTGCAGAAAAATATTTTCCAATATCTCCGGAAACGTTTCAATGTTTACAGCTTTCGAGAATAAAGGTGTCCTTGCTTTCTCTCTGAATGATGCAAAATATATCTCCGAAAGAGACGTATTTTAAACGATTGAAAATTACGACGACTATTATCGTGATATTTGGTGATATTTCAAACATATTCTTGCAAAGTTAAGAATCTTCTTGCCGACGGGAACGCGAGCGCACGAGAGCATCGAGATCCGTAAAAATTCGAGATCCGTAACAGGATATTAAAAAATATCTGGAACGGACGGTTCCGCGAAGTTTCGGGCAAGTGGTAGGTGTGCCTCGATCGCAAGAAAGTCTGGCGGATTCCCGACGGCGGAGGCAAGAGACGCATGTCTGTCTGGGGAGGGGGCATAAATTTATTAATGAAATATATCGTCGTATCCAATAGCGGGTAACACGTGTGCTACAAATTTTGACGTCTGATAGCTGGACGAGGAGCACGTGTTCCACGTGAAAAGACAAGGGCCGGAAAACGGTGTAACTAATGGGCAACGCTTCGCACGTGCTGTGACGGCTACAATTTATCAGAACTTGTTTGAAGTTATTTTACGAGTTTAGGAGGCATGAAATTTCTCCTTCACTCCGGCCTGTACGTGAATTGATCCACCATTATACCGCTTGATTTCCCTCTAAATGTATTTCACGCCTCGCTCTTACATGTTTCACGATTATTACCCCTTTATTTCTCAGTTCATGACCATATCTATTTGCTCTTTGATTTATTCGCCAAATTATTGCATATATACAGTGGTGTTTGCGTTAAACGATCAAACGACGTCGCCACTCGAAGAGTGTCGCAATGCGTGGAAATTGCCAACAATAACGCGAAAATATGTCGCGACAGGACACGATACGAGTTCGTTGACTGTGCTTTTGCTTCGATAACGTTATATTTACAATCTTGAATTTTAAGTTTCGGATTAACGTGTCGTATGTAAAGATCGAATATTTGAAAATGGTACCGAAGTTTTGGAAAGAGATAATAAAGAAGAGTGATTTGTTCTATAACGTTGATTAATACTCAAAAATACTCAAAAATGCTCAAAAATACTCTCCAAATGTACGTTAAGTTTATTTTGAATTTTTGAGCGTATGAATAATAAAACTGATAATGGAAGAGTAAGATGAATGCTTTAATAATTGACGAACAAACTGCGAATTTTCATGCATCTATGAAAAATTTGAAAGTGAAATATAAAAATATGCATAAGATATGTAAAAATGTGAAAAACGAAAAGTGAAATGCTTGATGTAATATATTATGGATAATCTCCAAAGATAAACTTTTATGTGAGTTACAGTCTCTCTCTTAAATTCTATATAGAATTGCATAAAGATATAATAATGGAATAACTGATCATGAATAGTATTTATATATCTCTATAATTTCTATAATTTCAAAATCTATCTTTCCGGTTAGTCCAAAATTCTTCAACTCAAAGTTTATAAGTCAAGTTATTTGTAGAAACGAAAGTGTAATAAAATTCATTAATTAATTTTTCCCAATCTAAAATAAAGTTTCCAATAAAATGGTTATAGATGAAATGAACGTAGACTTATGTTCTCTAGATTCGCGTAAAGTAAAAGGAAATCAATATTTTAAATTACGCCAATTTATATTTAATGTAGGAGGTTAATGATTCCAATAAAAGAGTGTAAAAATATTACTAAAGTATGGAAAGTCCAAGTACGGAATTATATTTTACAAGAGAACGTAATATTTTAATAAAAATTTGTTATGAAATACGCAATTTCCGGATCAGCGTGATTAAATTTAATATTTAATTTTAATTTTTGAACCAACATCCGCAACAAATTATACAATCGTCGTTTTTCATAAATGAACATTTTTTAACGATGATAACAGCATCCGTGTAACATGAAAGAGTTATCGATCTCATTATCCGACATTAATATCCTGCATTAACGAATCTCTATAAAATTCTTGGGAAATCCAATATTGAAGTACCTAAAGATTTAATTGAAATCACAAACTTATTATAAAACATCATCATCATGGTAATTCGCTTTTTTCCCACCACGTTAATTAGAATTTTTAAATCTCAAAAAGATAATTTTTTTAACATTTGTAATTGAAATATTTTTAATGAGTCATAAATTTCATTATAAAATATTGTTATTCTTGACGAGCATGTGTAGCAAATTCGTTGAATTTTTGGAAAAATCTTGCTCGTAAAATTTGAAAAATAATTGAATATCTGTCCTGTAACTATTACGAACTAATTAAAAATATCACGTTACCATGAACTGTTACATTATTCTTTAATTATTTTTTCATCTTTTTACGATATAATTACGAAATTCATAACACGTGATTTACATAGATTGAATGTAATTAGAGTGCAAGTAATTCCCTGCACACATTTTACAAAAAAATATCTTTATAATTTTGATTTTTTTTGAAGTCATAAACCTCACGTCTGGATGTGCAGATAACTTACTTATTAATTACACGTTGCATTACGAGGCAATTAAGTCCACATATGTTCATTGTTTACAGAGACGACTAATTTCAAAGTCTTTTAAAGAAGTCAACTTCGCCATATCTTGATCATACAATAAATTACGACTGTAATTTTTCATTCTATATAAGCATTAACAAGTTCTCTAACGTGTCACTCGTATAATATGAGTGACAGAGTTGATCTGTGATAACCGCGTCACTCGTATATGAGTGACAATGAATTTTTCTTCAGGACAGGCGTCGCATACGTGACTTACAGAAAGTTAAATTTCCACGATGTGAAACCTTCGAGTATTCTTTAAGCTAAATCATACTTTTTTTTTTTTAATAAATTAAATCTCCAGTGATTTCGCTGCAAGTTATTCTCCCATGAGGAATAAAGAAT